TTGCCCCCGCTCTGGATGATGGGGGGGTAACACATCTCCACCGCCGAAGGGTCGGCCCCCGCCAAATACTTCTTCTCCTCGATGGCCTTCTCCACCGATTCGGCCAATTTGCTGTGCCGGACTTTCTGGGGGTGACGATATCGTTTATGACATCACCCGCCGTCATCGTTTTGGGGTTTTTTTTTTGTTCGCCGCCCCGCCCAAAGCCGAGCTTTCTGACCTCGTCGGCGTCGACGATCTCCATCACCCGGTCGGCCCCCGCCAAATACTTCTTCTCCTCGATGGCCTTCTCCACCGATTCGGCCAATTTGCTGTGCCGGACTTTCTGGGGGTGACGATATCGTTTATGACATCACCCGCCGTCATCGTTTTGGGGTTTTTTTTTTGTTCGCCGCCCCGCCCAAAGCCGAGCTTTCTGACCTCGTCGGCGTCGACGATCTCCATCACCCGCTCTTTGAAGAACTTGGTGAAGACCTCGGAGGTGTTTTTTGCCGCTTTGCGCATCAAGTTGAGCTCTCCATCTTCTTTGGCCGCCATGGTGTAGGCCACCACGGCGCTGATGTCCACCTAACGAGGAGGAGGAGGAGAAGACGGGACAACGACGATGACGAGAAGGTCGAGGTGGTCCCGGAGGAGACGTCGTGGGCAGTGGGACCTCCTCGGACCTTCTCGAAGCCCTCCTTGCTGAGGCAGTCGTTCCAACTCTTCATGAAGTCACCGGGGAACTTGTCCTTGCTGAAGACGCCGATGCGTTTGCCACCTTTGCTGGCCTTCAAGGCCTCGATCATCTTCTCGAAGTTGGCTTTGTTGCTCTCGTTCTGGGGCAAAACGGTGGAAAAACGGGGGGGAAAAAAAAATATGGGTGCTGGGTCCCCCCCAAGCACCCTGAGGACCCCCCAACTGCCCTGAGGGCCCCACCTCCATCTTGAAGACCCCCAATTTCCATCCTGAAGACCCAACCTCCATCTTCAAGACCCCATCTCCATCCTGAAGACCCCACCATCCACCCTGAAGACCCCCAATCTCCACTCTCAAGACCCAACCTCCACCCTGAAGACCCCACCTCCATCTTGAAGACCCCCAATCTCCACCCTGAAGACTTCACCTCCACCCTGAAGACCCACCCACCATCTTGAAGACCCCCAATCTCCACCCTGAAGACCCCCAACCTGCATCCTAAAGACCTCTCCACCATCTTGAAGACCCCTCTAAGCACCCTGAAGACCCCACCTCCATCTTGAAGACCCCCCCAATCACCCTGAGGACCCAACCTCCATCTTGAAGACCCCCAACCTCCACCCTGAAGACCCCACCTCCACCCTGAACACACCCCATCCATTTTCAAGACCCCCCCAACCACCTTGAAGACCCCATGTCCATCCTGAAGACCCCCAATCTCCACCCTCAAGACCCAACCTCCATCTTGAGGACCCCGCAAACCACCCTGAAGACCCCATCTCTATCTTGAAGACCCCCCCCAACCACCTTAAATACCCCACCTCCACCCTGAGGACCCCCAACCTCCATCTTGAACATCCACCCTCCATCTCGAAGATCCCCAATCTCCACCCTCAAGACCCAACCTCCATCTTGAGAACCCTGCAAACCACCCTGAAGGTCCCACTTCCGTCTTGAAGACCCCCAACCTCCACCCTCAAGACCCCATCTCCATCTTGAGGACCCCCCATCCACCATAAAGACCCCACTGCCATCTTGAAGACCCCCAACCTCCATCTTGAAGACACCCCATCCACCCTGAGGACCTAACCTCCATCTTGAGGACCCCCCAACCACCCTGAAGGCCCCACCTCCACCTTCAACACCCCCAATCTCCACTCTCAAGACCCAGCCTCCACCTTGAAGACCTCCAGTCTCCATCCTGAAGACCCCACCTCCATCTTGAAGACCCCCAACCTCCATCTTGAAGACCCAACCTCCATCTTGAAGACACCCCATGCACCCTGAGGACCCAACCTCCATCTTGAGGACCCCCCAACCACCCTGAAGACCCCCAATCTCCCCTCTCAAGACCCCCACCTCCATCTTGAGGACCCCCCATCTACCCTGACCACCCCACCTCCACCCTGAGGACCCCCCAACCACTCTGAAGACCCAACCTCCATCTTGAGGACCCCGCAAACCACCCTGAAGATGCCACCTCCATTTTGAAGACCCCCAACCTCCACCCTGAACACCCAATCTCCACCCTAAGACCCCACCCCCATCTTGAAGACCCCCCCCAGCCACTCTAAAGACCTCACCTTCATCTTCAAGACTCCCAACCTCCATCTTGAAGACCCCCAATCACCACTCTCAAGACCCAACCTCCATCTTAAGAACCCCGCAAACCACCATGAA